AGAGAAAGCACACAAACCTTGTAGTGCTCAGCCCGGACTAGGAAGACCGCTCGAAGGCGGCGCCCTTTTTGAAGGGCATGCTTCTCTTCCTCTCTTCGCTGCCCCACTTCCCGCCCTGCAGGGTGTTGAAGACCACCTTGTCCCAGCCGTCAAACCGCGGATTGGAAGTGGAAGCGGATGTCTGCGCCCGGGGTCCTGTCCCACCGCAAAGGTTTCACGAAGAATCTGGCGGGGACATGAAGGGCTCGCTTCCGCTGGGTGCACCTCTCCGGTGCCTGGGGCCCCTCTTAGGAAGCCTCTCCCCACTGCCCTGTCCCAGGGCTCCCTGGGTCCGGACCTCAGCACCTGCTCTGAGGGGCGACCTTGGCCACTGTGGGCTATGGTGTGGAGAGGCGTGAATTCTGAGGGGGGCAGATTTCCACCACCACCACACCTTTGCTCAACAGCCTTTCCTTCTTTTTTTTTTTTTTTTTTTTTTGAGATGGAGTCTTGCTCTGTTGCCCAGGCCGGAGTTGGAGTGTCACAATCTCAGCTCCCTGCAACCTCCACCTCCCGGATTCCAGTGATTCTCCTGCCTCAGCCTCCCAAGTAGCTGGGATTATAGGTGTGCACCACCACATCCAGCTAATTTTTGTATTTTTAGTAGAGATGGGGTTTCACCATGTTGGCCAGGCAGGTCTCGAACTCCTGACCTCAGGTGATCCACCTGCCTCGGCTTCCCAAAGTGCTGGGATTACAGGTGTGAGCCACTGTGCCTGACCTTTGTTTTCTTTTTTTGAGACAGGGTCTCACGGTCTTGCCCTGTCCTCCAGGCTGGAGTGCAGTGGCCAAGATGGCAGCTCACTGCAGCCTCAACCTCCTGGGTCAACTGATTTTCCTGCATCAACCTCTCTAGTAACTGGGACTACAGGCTCATGCCACTATGCCTGGCTTTTTTTTTTTTTTTTTTTTTTTGTAGAGATGGGGTCTCACTATGTTGCCCAGGCTGGTCTCAAACTCCTGGGCTCAAGCAATCCTACCACCTCGGCCTCCCAAAGTGCTGGGATTACAGGTGTGAGTTGCTGTACCCAGCCCACCTTGCCTTCTTAGACCACGTCCTCCAGCCTCTTTCCAACTTCCAGTTATGACTGCTACGAGTCTGCCACGGGCCAGGCTCTGTCCTATGCATTTTGGGTCTCCCTGCTCCGCTCCTGGCCCTGAAGATCATTTCCCTGATGCAGCCAAAGGGCCCCTGTGAACACCCATGCCGCATCACATTCTGCACCCCTGGGCACACCAGCATCCTTGAAATTGCTCTCCAGGGCAGGCACACACCTGTCTCAGGGCCTTTGCACTGGCTCTTCCCTCTGCCTGGACGGCCCTTCCCTCAGCTGTCCCCGGGGATCCCTCTCTCCCTTCTGTTCTTTGCTGAAATGTTTCCTTCCCAGGCAGACCTTCTCTGGCCGCCTTTTTAGTTTTTTTGAGACAGTCTATCTTTGTCACCCAGGCTGGAGTGCAGTGAAGTGATCTCAGCTCACTGAAACCTCTGCCTTCAGGGCTCAAGTGATTCTCCCACATCAGGCTCCCAAGTAGCTGGGATTATAGGCACCTGTTACCAGGCCTGGCTAATTTTGTATTTTTAGTAGAGATGAGATCTTGCCGTTTTGGCCAGGCTGGTATCCAACTCCTGACGTCAGGTGATCAGCCTGGCTTAGCCACCCAAAGTGCTGGGATTACAGGCGTGAGCCACAGCGCCTGGCCTGGACTTCTTTTTTATGTTTTCCCTACTAGGACGTCAGCTCCACGAGGGCAGGGGTCTCTGTCCTGTTCACTCCTCCATCCCTAGTGTCAGGACACAGAGTGGGCACTCACTGAAGAAGTAAACAATAAATAAATAAACAACAGGCTGGGTAGAGTGGCTCACACCAGTGCCTGATCCTCCTAGCACTTTAGGAGGCCGAGGCTAGAGGATCGCTTGAGCCCAGGAGTTCAAGACCAGCCTGGGCAACGTAACAAGACTTTATCTGTACAAAACGAATAATAATAATAAATAAAAATTAAAGCCGGGCACGGTGGCTCACGCCTATAATCCCAGCACTGGGAGGCCGAGGCAGGCGAATCACCTGAGGTCAGGAGTTCGTGACCAGCCTGACCAACACGGAGAAGCCCCATCTCTACTAAAAATACAAAATTAGCTGGGCGTGGTGGCGCATGCCTGTAATCCCAGCTACCGGGGAGGCTGAGGCAGGAGAATCACTTGAAACCGGCAGGTGGAGGTTGCAAAGCAGAGATCGCGCCATTGCACTCCAGCCTGGGCAACAAGAACGAAACTCCGTCTCAAAAACAAAAAAGTTAAATATTAAATTAGCTGGGCGTGGTGGCGCATGTCTGTAGTCCCATCTGCTTGGGAAGATGAGGTGGGAGGATCCCTTGAGCCCAGGAGTCGGAGGCCGAAGTGAGCTATATTGTGCTACTGCACTGCAGCCTGGGCAACACAGCAAGACCCTATCTCTAAGGGAAAAAAAAAGTCATATGAGGCCAATTATTGTCACCGTGTTAAGGCCCTTTATAAAAAGCTAAGACTGGGCCAGGCACAGTGGCTCACGCCTGTAATCCCAGCACTTTGGGAGGCTGAGATGGGCGGATCACTTGAAGTCAGGCGTTTGAGACCAGCCTGGCCAACATGGTGAAACCCCGTCTCTACTAAAAATACAAACATTAGCCGGTATGCTGGCATGTGCCTGTAATCCCAGCTACTCGAGAGACTGAGGCAGGAGAATCGCTTGAACCTGGGAGACAGAGGTTGTAGTGAGCCGAGATCATGCCATTGCACTCCAGCCTGGGCGACAAGAGCAAAACTCCATCTCAAAAAAAAAAAAAAAAAAAAAAAAAAAAAAAAAAAGAGAGAGAAAGAAAACAAAGGAAGGAGGGAAGGAAGGAAGGAGCCGAGATGGCGACACTGCACTCCGGCTCAGGAAACAAGAGAGAAAGCACACAAACCTTGTAGTGCTCAGCCAGGACTAGGAAGACCAGCTCGAAGGCGGCGCCCTTTTTGAAGGGCATGCTTCTCTTCCTCTCTTCGCTGCCCCACTTCCCGCCCTGCAGGGTGTTGAAGACCACCTTGTCCCAGCCGTCAAACCGCGGATTGAAGTGGAAGGCGATGTCTGCGCCCGGGTCCTGTCCCACCGCAAAGTTCACGAAGAATCTGGCGGGACATGAAGGGCTCGTTCCGCTGGTGCCACCTCCCGGTGCCTGGGGGCCCCTCTAGGAAGCCCTCTCCCCACTGCCCTGTCCCAGGGCTCCCTGGTCCGGACCTCAGCACCTGCTCTGAGGGGCGACCTTGGCACTGTGGGCTATGGTGTGGAGAGGGCGTGAATTCTGAGGGGGGCAGATTCCCACCACCACCACACCTTTGCTCAACAGCCTTTCCTTCTTTTTTTTTTTTTTTTTTGAGATGGAGTCTTGCTCTGTTGCCCAGGCCGGAGTTGGAGTGTCGCGATCTCAGCTCACTGCAACCTCCACCTCCCGGATTCCAGCGATTCTCCTGCCTCAGCCTCCCAAGTAGCTGGGATTATGGGACTTATAGGTGTGCACCACCATCCAGCTAATTTTTGATATTTTTAGTAGAGAGTGGGTTCCCATGTTGGCCAGGCAGGTCTCGAACTCCTGACCTCAGGTGATCCACCTGCCTCGGCTTCCCAAACAGTGCTGGGATCTACAGTGTGACACTGTGCCTGACCTTTGTTTTCTTTTTTGAGACAGGGTCTCACGTCTTGCCCTGTCCTCCCAGCTGCGGAGTGTGCGAGTGGCCAAGATGCAGCTCACTGCAGCCTCAACCTCCTGGGTCACCTCGATTTTCCTGCATCAACCTCTCTAGTAAACTGGAACTACAGGCTCATGCCACTCATGCCTGCTTTTTTTTTTTTTTTGTTTTTTTTGTAGGAGATGGGGTCTTCCCACTATGTTGGCCCAGGCTGGTCTCCCCCAAAACACTGGTGCTCATAGCAATCCTACCAC